GCGCTTTGTGCACCGATTGGTGTAGTTTGACACTAGCCTAACGCAGTTCTTTTCAGAGCTGTCAATACGGTGGTGATTAGTTGCATCAAGGAGTGTATCAAGACTATGGTGGATAGATAAAGGATTCATCACTCCCGGGTATGGGAGAAGTTATCTCATGGCGCAATTCAGTAAATGGCAATGACACTAAAACTGTGGCCTCAGTGGGATTGAGTTGTTGCTCTATCCAGTTTATAATATAGGTCATTGGTCCAGTAACTGAATACACAATATCGAGAGTAACCAAAGGTTGACACTATTTCTATGCCTCGGTCTCGTTGAGATAACGGATGATGAAAGAATCGAATTGTACGGTAACCATATCATTGACAGGTAGCTACTTTGCTGAATCCGAATCTATCGGGTGGCCATGATGCCTTGCTAGGGGCCAATCTTGGTCTGTATATAGTGAGACGATTAATTGGTGTTAATCGCGATACTATACACTTCCGGTATGATGAGGAGCCTATGGGTCACACACATAGAAGATAATTTAAGAGCCAGGAAGTAAGAAAGGAGATTTCGTCTTTTTAGGTGAAATGGTAATTTGGTAATTTCACAGTGCAATTAAATTTGTTGAGGTCGTAGCCTTTATTTAATTTGTTAGAAAAATTAAATAAGTGAGATTACGTTTAAATATGTGTTCACATATATTTAAATAAGTTATCATTATTGTTAAATGTTAATATATATTAAATATATATATTAATTGATTTTAATTGAGATAATGATAAACAAAATTAAAATATCTAAATGGGTGTGTTTGGAAACAAGGGGTGTTTGGGTTGGAGCCCAAGCCTATTCCATAAAGGAATAGGGCAATTAAATTTTCACTATAAAAGAAAAGATTTTTCATTATTTCATTTCATTCATTGAAATGAAAAACTCCAGCCCCTTGAAATAAACACTCACGCCAGATTTGGGTTTTTGCCTAAGATCAAATTCCTTTGATTTCTTCTTCTTTGTTTCTTAAGACTAAAAAGGATCTAGCAAATCCCTTTTTAGTTCCTTGCGATTATCTTCGTGTGGACTACATTGGTTCGATCATATACTTGGGTCGGTAGCAAAATACGTTCAAAGAAAAAGTTTGAGGAGCCTCCAAACGTGCGTATGATTTCTTAAACTCTAAACTGATTTTCTGAAGATTCTTATTTTGATATAAACTGTAAATTTGTACCATAATCTTGGTTTTTTGGAACGATCCGTGTTGTTATTATTATTTTTTTTCTGCTGCGTCAATGGATCTTTTCCTAATAGTATTTGAAGTCTTCAAGGGATGGGATATGGGATGGACCCCAGAGGTCTGGGTGAATTAATTCTAAAGGTTGATAGGCTCTTGAATCTATCCTAGGAAAGGTGGACTGATGTAGCTTGCTGAATTGGCATGCTGAGTAGAAGTCAAAGGTGTGTGAGGTGGTGTGATGTAATTGTAAAAGATGTAAGATTTTAGCAAGAACTGATGCATTGGGATGACCCAAACGTGTGTGCCATAGCATTCCACTAGTTTTTGTAGCAGAGAAGGATTGAACACTTTTATTATTATCAATATCAGTAGTGTTACAAGGAGAAACAAGTGCAAGAAATTTTGAAAACACATCATTATTCTTAGGCACACGGCCAATATTGACATTATTTTTAGTACAATCTTTTAGTATTAAAGAAAACAAAGGCTTTATAGATTGTGGTGGACTAGGAAGTTGAGCTGAAGAATGAAAAACAAAGACATTCAATTGAGGAAAGTCAGCAGGCAGGTTAGACTGTGGAGTGATTGGAGTTGGAAGTTGATAAAGACCATCTTTAAGCCTTCCTTGAAGAAGAACCACTTTGGATTGTTTGTCCTCAACAACACAATGGTCAGCAAAAAATTCAACAATTACATTGTTGTCTCTAGTAAATTTAGATATACTGAGCAGATTTTTGGTAATATAGGGAACACATAAGACATTTTTAAGATAAAGAGACCTAGAATGACATGGTAAAGAGGCATAGCCAGTGTAAGATATAGTTAGAAGCTCACCATTCCCAACCTGAAGCTGCTCGCTGCTGTCACATGATATGTGGCGCCTGAATCCATATACCAAGAGGCATCCTGGACTGTGGAGGGTACTACAACATAACTAGCAGTGGGATTAGCATAAAGTGATGGCTGATTTTGTGACAAAATCACCTGATTATGAGCATTTGATGATGTGCCAGGATCATGAATCATTTGAGGCTATCCCAAGACTGCTGAATTAGATCCTTCTAGAGGACTGACTTGATTGACTTGAGTAGAGTTTTGGTCTCCAGGGTTATTGTAAAATGGTGCTCCAGAATAACCAGTTGAGGTAGACATTGGACCTAAGTGAAATCCAATTGGTGAAGTCATTAATGCAGGATTGTAAAAAGGCTGGTGGGAATTTGGAAAGGAATATAACAATTCTAGAAAACCAACTGGTGGTCTGGTGGAGTAACCAGGAGCAAAATTAGATCGCATCATGGAGTTGTTTCCTCCGGTAAAGCTTGTATCGAATCTATCATAACAATTGAGAGCTAAATGCCTTGTTTTACCGCAGACTTGGCAGATAAGCCTGCCTCTTCTAGCTCCACGTCCTCTTCCTCTATTTCCAGCAAATTGAGGAGAGTAAATGGTAGGTTATGGTACTGAATTTACAAACTGACTTGGTACAGCATTCACAAACTGACTTTGTGCTTAATTCACAAACTAACTAGAAGTTGGATGTACAAGTTGGCTGTGGCTAAGTCCAAAAGTGGGATTGTGTTGTGAAAAATCAGAAGATTGCATGGTTGAAGACTGAGGTTGTTCACTGTGATATTTCTTGTTACTATCACCAGTTGTCAAGTTTACAAAATGAACAGAACCTCCTTGAAATTCAGTGTTCACGAGTGAGTTCAATCCAAAATTCGCTCTTTCTAATCTCAATTCATATTTCTGTAAAATAACTTGTGCTTCTTGAACAGACAAAAGATCAATTCTGGATTCTAACCTTATGGTGATATTTACTACGGCAGCGTCATACTCAGAACTGAGGCCATCAAGTATGTAGTTCAATAGCTCTTCGTTAGTAACTAATGTTCCACTAGAATTTAGTATTTCAGCAAAGTTTTTCATTTTCATGAAGTAATCGTGAATGTTCAAATTGTCCTTTCTAGTGTTTTGCAACAGATTCTTAATATGGAGCATTTTAGTTCTTGACTCAGTAAGGAACTCCTTTTTCTAATGCAATCCACATATCGGAAGAAAATTGACATTTCGATACAATTGTAAACATTGACTCAGATATTGAACTAAGGAGGCAACTTACTAGAAGTTTATTTGTCTTTTTCCACTGATTATACCTGGATTAGGTTTCTTTTCTGCAATTTCTGTTGATCCTTCACTTTGAACTTTGATGAAGGGAGTTGGGCAAGATATCAAACCAGTAAGATGCTCTTCCAAGTCGTGTGAACCCACAGCAAACAGAATCTGTGATTTCCAAAATCTGTAATTATCCCTAGTTAGTTTAGGAGATATTACAGGTAGAGTAGAAGACACCATTGTTGGGGAAATTGCAGAATTGATGGTTTCAGAGGTTAGTTTGTGATCTGAATTGTGTTGATTGGGAGAAAATTAAGAGAAATCGGCCATCTGTGGCATTTGTCAAACGGCTCTAATACCATATGAGCTGTTAAGCTTTGGAACAGAGAGAAAACGTAAAAGAAGAAGCAAGAATTCTTTATTGATTTGCTTAAAACAATAATGGTACAGTAAATGGCATTTTGATAGTGTTGGGATAATAGTAACTAACTGTTAAAACAAACTGAAAGTAAACGGCAGATTGACTAACTTAACTCACTCTAATTCTTTACTAACATCCTCCTTTAAGCTGGACAGCTCTGACTCTTACTCTTGACTCTTTTCCTAACAAGAAGAGATGAAAGAGTAGTACACTTTAACACTTTTACATAGGCGGGAAAACCAAAAAATTTCCTACCGCACTTTCAGAAGGAGGAATCAATAAGAGATGGAGTAGAAGAGAGAAAATTTGTTTACATTAAAAAAATTAGTTTATTAAAAAGTGTGTAATTGCTTAAAACGACTTTTATTTCAGAACGGAGGGAGCAAATTACTTCTTAAATGACTTGATTTCATCTTATTTTTTATTTTTATTTTTTAGGTATCTAAGGTATTCAGACTCACATTTGAGCATGTCTAATCCTCACGGCCACGGAACATTCTACAAGTTTAATGGACTAAGATAATTGCACAAATGTGATAGATATCTCTTCTGCAACTCAAACACAAGATCTCGCATGTATAGCTAACCCCAGAGGTATTATCGTCGGTGTTCTCTTCTCTATTAATTAATTAACCAGAGTTTGAGACTTCTTCATAGTAGGAGTTCTTAAAAAATAAAAAAAAATAAAAAATTGCATCATCTTGGGCTAATTCCTTGGTTTCTTGTTTTTATAACACTAACATTTAAAATTGACCTTATACAAAATAAATAAAAAATAGAATAAACACAAATAGTTGATTAATTAATTTCTTTTTAATTCGAAACTCAGCGGTACTATTTTTTTAATATAATTGACAGAAGATTACAACTTTTGAAAACAAATATACAAAAACTCTATTCACTGAACCTGTTTTTTTCTTGCATAACAATCGCTAATGTATGTTATTATTTATGATTATAATTCATATATAATTATATTTCATGTAGTATAAAATTGACTGCTTCAAGGTTTAAATTTGTCAAATATTTAATGGAGAGACATGTAAAGGCAGATGGGATCCCAGTATGTATTAAATTGTCAACACATATTAGAGATAGGAAAGTTGTTCCACCATTACACAATTGTTTTAAAGCATGAAGATATCACTATATAAACCTCTTCATCCTCAGTTTGTTGTCATTCACAATCACTTTATTCAATCTCCAAGAAGAAGATCACCAAAAGTTTAGAGAGTAGGCAAAATGGCCAACATTTGGCCTCATTTTGTCCATGCATTGGCAATATGTTTAGTAGCTACCAATATTGCAGTTGTTGATTATGACTATAAGCCTTACACTTATGCTTCACCATCACCTTATTACTATAAATCACCATATTCATATCATTACAAGTCTCCTCCACCACCTTCTCCGCCTCCGCCTCGTTACTATTACAAGTCGCCACCACCACCGCGCAAGTCGTCTCCTCCTCCTTATTACTATAAATCACCTTCACCGCCGAAAGCATCCCCTCCAGCACAGTATTATTATAAGTCACCACCTCCACCATCTTCATCTCCTCCTCCTCCTTATGTATATAAGTCCCCACCACCACCTTCACCATCACCTCCTCATCCTTATGTTCCTAAGTCCCCACCACCACCATCACCTTCACCTCCTCCTCCATACATTTACAAGTCACCACCTCCTCAATCACCATCACCTCCTCCACCTTACGTGAACAAGTCTCCTCCTGCACCATCTCCATCACCTCCTCCTCATGTTTATAAGTCACCACCGCCACCTTCACCATCCCCTCCTCCTCCATATGTGTACAAGTCTCCTCCACCTCCATCTTCATCACCTCCTCCCCCTTACATTTATAAATCTCCACCACCACCATCGCCATCTCCACCTCCTCCATACATTTACAAGTCACCACCTCTACCTTCACCTTCACCACCTCCTCCATACGTCTATAAGTCACCACCAGCTCCATCACCATCACCTCCTCCTCCATATGTGTACAAATCTGTAGGTTTCAGCCGAAGAACATTAAGAGAGAGAGAGAGATAAAAAACAGAGCACCAAAAAATGATTTTGCAAAAGCTTCAGACCTTTCATTAAAGAAACAATATATAACACATATCCACTCTCTGCTAATTACACCTACTACAGCAGAGGTTACAGCTTTCAAATTCAAATTTCAACACAACATTACAGTAAACTTACTTCTAATGAACTTACTTAAATACCCTTTAAAACAAGATAACCAATTACACAAAAAAACTCTCCCATGCACGTTAAGTCACTGCTGCATGAACCATTCTGCATTTTTCCAGAACACAATTCTGCAGACTTGAGTATTTGATGCATTTCCAGCAAGGCATCACTGCATCAACAAAATCTCCTCCCCCACCATCTCCATCACCTCCACCTCCATATGTTTACAAATCCCCACCTCCTCCATCTCCCTCTCCCCCTTCTCCATACATTTACAAGTCACCCCCACCCCCATCTCCATCACCACCTCCTCCATATGTCTATAAGTCACCACCTCCACCTTCTCCATCACCTCCTCCTCTTTATGTTTATAAATCTCCACCACCACCTTCGCCTTCACCTCCTCCTCCATACGTTTATCAGTCACCGCCACCACCATCTCCATCTCCACCTCCTCCCTACATTCATATGTCAGCACCTCCACCTTCACCTTCACCTTCACCATCTCCTCCATATGTATACAAGTCACCACCTCCTCCATCACCATCTCCTCCTCCTCCATGCATTTACAAGTCACCCCCTCCTCCATCACCATCTCCTCCTCCTCCATACATTTACAAGTCACCTCCTCCTCCATCACCATCACCTCCATCACCATCACCTCCTCCTCCTTATGTCTACAAATCCCCACCTCCTCCATCTCCATCCCCTCCACCTCCTTACCACTATAAGTCTCCTCCTCCACCATCTCCCTCACCTCCTCCTCCCTACCATTACAAATCACCACCACCACCTTCTCCTTCACCTGCACCACCTTATTACTACAACTCCCCACCACCACCCAAAGTTTCCTAAACAAGTCACTGTTTCCACTCGGAGCAAGTCCACTCCATCAAAGCACAATGTTGACAGACAATATTTGACTACATTCTGGAGCCAGATTTTCTTACTTTAATGCAACACTTCATTATTGTAAACTTCTTTGAAGAATTTCAATTTTCACTTGTATTTTTACACAGTCTTACTTTTGATGTTATACATTTCTTCTATTCAATAAATTAATACTTCGATTTTAAAGTTTAAACTATTAGATAAAGTTCCAACAATTTGACCTGGTTCTTAAATATTGAATCAAGAAATTTTCAGCCAGCAGGTGAAGGTTTGCAATGTTAATTTAATGAACGAAGATGGTAGCTTTCTTAGAAACTATAACAATTAAGAGTCAATTACATATTAATTATTTGTGTCTCAAGAACAGAAACATTTTAATTAAATAACGTGAAGACTTTTAGGAGAACATGTGGGCACAAATATTGGACAACAGAAATACTTTTTTTTTTTCTTTGTTATGACCGGGGTGTTTAGGCCAGTTTATGCGCACCTCAACTAATCTCTGAGATTCTGAAACTATCAATCAGGTTAAAGTTCCAATGACCACCTCTATTAACGATCGAGGAGAAACTCGAAATTAGAATCTTGAGTAATACATCCAAGAATCTCTATCAAACCACTCATCCAGTAGGGGTTAGTTAACATACAGAAATGCATACATAAATGCTTTTGATTAGCTAAAAATGGAAACGTCTTATTACCATAATCTCTAATCAAATTAAGAATTCATCATGTTGAAAATTTCAACACGTGACAATTAAATTGAAATTTTCAACACAGTGATAGTGTTACCGCAATATCACCTATATATAAAACATTATTTGATATCATGATGTATGCAAAACCAATATTATTTTGTCAAAATAATTTAAAAAATGAACTTCCTCAAATGTGCTGTATAGTAGCTGTCTTTTTTCCTATTTATTTGTTGATAACCGCGGTTCCCTTTCATGCAGCAAAACTCTATAGGAATATATTATTTAGATATGTCAAATGAGTCATTCTGAAAATGGTAAAATTCAATTTATTTATTTTGTCTTAAAAGATCAAACTCATAACCTCAATAATCTTTGGAAAAATTATGATACCCCAGTAAGGTTTGGGGGAATAATTAAACCCCATAGGTTTTATAAAATAGAAACATGCCTCTCCCTAGATAGATAGAGTTAGGGGTGTTAAACAAATTTCCTATATCTCCAGTTGAGCTTTACCGTTATTTCACAGCTGAGAAAGGTAGGTATCTTATACTTTTCAATCCTCAGGGGAGGTCACTGTATTTTACCAAATATCTTTGTACACAAAGCATAGTAGCATACATAATTTTTCAGACAAATGCAGTTTTGCTTTCAGCTTTAGAACAGTACTAAACCTTTCTCCAGTAACATTAATCCATATGTCATTTCATCGGAAAAAAGTCTTTTGTTTTTCTCCACAATGTTGTCATTAGATCCAAATAGTATTGCAATAGATAAGAATATAATTGATAAATACTGAGAACTCTTACCTAACGTTAAACAATAGAAAAATCCATTAGATAATTAAACTATTGGTTCTACACCATCTTTGACAATAAATTGACAATTCGAAATGCTTTTCTTGCATATTATTACTAAACCAATGTTTAGATATAGATGTAAGACGATCTATTTAGGACGAAATCTATGTTTGTACAGAATTCTCGATATTTTCTAAGGTTTTAAAACCCGACCCGTGGAATGACCTTGTCAGGGGGTCGAGCCTGTGTTGGCCGATTCAACCACCGAGTCTAACTGTGATGTCAGCATGATGTCAACAGAAAAATTAAAATTCCAGATTATAAAATATTGATACTCAATAAATTTTTGTAACTAGTTCATCCAAATCTGAAATAAACAACTAAATAAGCTATAAAATATAAAGCAAACAACACATTCATTCCAAAATCCTATTACATTTCCATGTCAAGTCAAGATTGAATTTGGGCATCAGATGCACTCATGCAGAGGGAAAATTACTTATATCATCAATGTCATTTACTTATATCATCAATGTCATTGTCGTCATCATCCACATTAGCATCTACAAAAAATTTCAAGCAAAAATAACATTATGAGTTAAAATTTGTTATTATAAACTAAATTGACAAATGTAATTTAAAATTTAAATAACTAAATTAACTACTGTAAAATTACTAATGAGCACATCACAACATTAACCAACTTCTTTAATATCAAGCCCATTCTCACAGCAAACAATCTCAAACCCTAAACCCACTTCTTCAATATCAAGCCTCCATCTCTACCTACTCCAATCCCTCCCATGCAACAAAAACAAAGCACAACCAAATTCATTGAAGCCCCATTCTCACAGCAAACAATTTCAAACCCAAAAGGACCAAAACCCACTTCTTGAAAATCAATTGTTCAACCCTCCATCTCTATCTACTCCCATGCAACAAGCCAACAACTCAACAAGAACAACGATAATAATAAAAGTAAAAAGTAAAAGAAACACAAACCTCATCGGAGCTGTCGAAAATTGCAGATTGAAGAAGAAGTTGCTGTTGAAGCCTAAGATTGAACATCAAAAGATGTTGAAGGCTCGAAGATTGGATATTGAAGAAGAAGCAGCTACAGATTGAAGTTTGAAAATTGAAGAAGCCGAAGCCAGAATGATATGTTGATTTGTAGAATGAAATTGAAATGGGAATAGGGTTTTATTTATTTTTTTTTGAAGAATTTCAATTTTCACTGTATTTTTACACAGTCTTACTTTTGATGTATACATTTCTTCTATTCAATAAAATTAATACTTCGATTTTAAAGTTTAAACTATTAGATAAGTTTCCAACAATTTGATCAAGACAAATAGAACTGAATTCTTTTGAAGTAAATTCAATTCCATTGTCACTTCTAAACACTTTGATCCTTGCTCTAGCCTCATTTTCCACCATCAGTTTATACTTTCTAAACACTGCAGGAACCTCACTTTTCAGCTTCAAAAAATACACCCATGTCATCCGTGTATAATCATCTATGAAGAGTATAAAATACCTGCTTCCACTCAATGATGCTGTCTGCATAGGACCACAAACATCTGAATGGATTAGCTGAAGTTTTGTTGTTACTCTCCAGGACTGATCCGAAGGAAATGAAGGTCTACTTAAGTTGCCAATTTGACAAACACTGCAGAGGGTACTCTTTTCTTCAATCTCTGGTAAGTCTTGGACCATGTTCCCTTTCTTTTTACAATGAGTACAGGCTGGAAATTCTTTCACTCCACCAGCCCTTTCCCACTGATTACTACTCTTCTCTTTCCCCTTTCTATCTCCAGCATACTTCCTTGTTTGTGTCTGTGCAGGTTTGCCTTTGAAGCTTGCAACCAATGCACCCTCACTAATGTCTTCTTGCCTCATGAGTCTCCTTTGTTCTTGCGCTTGGAGAGAATGAACAAGCTCAGTCAATGTGATCTGAGTCATGTCCTTAAAGTCCTCCTAAGAAGAAATTTTGGCCTCAAATCTTTCCAGAAGACTTACCAAAACCTTTTCCATAACCCTTCGGTCAGCCAACTCCACTCCCATAAGCCTGATTTTGTTGACAACATTCATTAGTCTATCAACATAATCCTTTACTTTTTCAGTTTCCTGCATTCTTTGCATCTCAAATTCCCTCCTTAGATTAAGAATCTGCATATTCCTTGTTGTAGTGCTCCCCATGTACTCTTCTCTCAATTTATCCCATGCTTCTTTGGGGTTTTCGTATGCCATGATTCTTGTAAAAACAAGATCAGTCACAGCAGAATGTATGTGAGAAAGAGCTCTTGGAGCTTTGGCTGTTTCTTCCTCATGCATCCTCAACTGGTTCAACATGGGATTCTGTCCAAGTGGTGGTGGCTGCTGGTTTTCTTCCACATACTGCCACAGTCCCTGTCCACGAAGGAGGGCTTTCATCTTTACTGCCCAGATGTGGTAATGTTCTCCATTGAACATCGGTGGAGCCATCAATGCAGATTGTGTTGCCATGCTCTGTTTTTCACGTCTAATGCAGAGAAGAAGGAAGACAGATGCAGGTTAAGTTTTTGCTGAGAATGGAGTGTGTTTTTGAGTCGTAAACGAAAGGTTTAGGATGCTAAGTTTCTGGTTTTTTGCAATGGCTCTGATACCATTTGTAGGTTTCAGCCAAAGAACATTAAGAGAGAGAAAGAGATAAAAAACAGAGCACCAAAAAACGATTTTGCAAAAGCTTCAGACCTTTCATTAAAGAAACAATATATAACACATATCCACTCTCTGCTAATTACACCTACTACAGCAGAGGTTACAGCTTTCAAATTCAAATTTCAACACAACATTACAGTAAACTTACTTCTAATGAACTTACTTAAATACCCTTTAAAACAAGATAACCAATTACACAAAAAACTCTCCCATGCACGTTAAGTCACTGCTGCATGAACCATTCTGCATTTTTCCAGAACACAATCCTGCAGACTTGAGTATTTGATGCATTTCCAGCAAGGCATCACTGCATCAACAAAATCTCCTCCCCCACCATCTCCATCACCTCCACCTCCATATGTTTACAAATCCCCACCTCCTCCATCTCCCTCTCCCCCTTCTCCATACATTTACAAGTCACCCCCACCCCCATCTCCATCACCACCTCCTCCATATGTCTATAAGTCACCACCTCCACCTTCTCCATCACCTCCTCCTCTTTATGTTTATAAATCTCCACCACCACCTTCGCCTTCACCTCCTCCTCCATACGTTTATCAGTCACCGCCACCACCATCTCCATCTCCACCTCCTCCCTACATTCATATGTCAGCACCTCCACCTTCACCTTCACCTTCACCATCTCCTCCATATGTATACAAGTCACCACCTCCTCCATCACCATCTCCTCCTCCTCCATGCATTTACAAGTCACCCCCTCCTCCATCACCATCTCCTCCTCCTCCATACATTTACAAGTCACCTCCTCCTCCATCACCATCACCTCCATCACCATCACCTCCTCCTCCTTATGTCTACAAATCCCCACCTCCTCCATCTCCATCCCCTCCACCTCCTTACCACTATAAGTCTCCTCCTCCACCATCTCCCTCACCTCCTCCTCCCTACCATTACAAATCACCACCACCACCTTCTCCTTCACCTGCACCACCTTATTACTACAACTCCCCACCACCACCCAAAGTTTCCTAAACAAGTCACTGTTTCCACTCGGAGCAAGTCCACTCCATCAAAGCACAATGTTGACAGACAATATTTGTTGACTACATTCTGGAGCCAGATTTTTTTACTTTAATGCAACACTTCATTATTGTAAACTTCTTTGAAGCATTTCAATTTTCACTTGTATTTTTACACAGTCTTACTTCTGATGTTATACATTTCTTCTATTCAATAAATTAATACTTCGATTTTAAAGTTTAAACTATTAGAAAAAGTTCCAACAATTTGACCTGGTTCTTAAATATTGAATCAAGAAATTTTCAGCCAGCAGGTGAAGGTTTGCAATATTAATTTAATGAACGAAGATGATAGCTTTCTTATAAACTATAACAATTAAGAGTCAATTACATATTAATTATTTGTGTCTCAAGAACAGAAACATTTTAATTAAATAACGTGAAGACTTTTAGGAGAACATGTGGGCACAAATATTGGACAACAGAAATACTTTTTTTTTTTCTTTGTTATGACCGGGGTGTTTAGGCCAGTTTATGCGCACCTCAACTAATCTCTGAGATTCTGAAACTATCAATCAGGTTAAAGTTCCAATGACCACCTCTATTAACGATCGAGGAGAAACTCGAAATTAGAATCTTGAGTAATACATCCAAGAATCTCTATCAAACCACTCATCCAGTAGGGGTTAGTTAACATACAGAAATGCATACATAAATGCTTTTGATTAGCTAAAAATGGAAACGTCTTATTACCATAATCTCTAATCAAATTAAGAATTCATCATGTTGAAAATTTCAACACGTGACAATTAAATTGAAATTTTCAACACAGTGATAGTGTTACCGCAATATCACCTATATATAAAACATTATTTGATATCATGATGTATGCAAAACCAATATTATTTTGTCAAAATAATTTAAAAAATGAACTTCCTCAAATGTGCTGTATAGTAGCTGTCTTTTTTCCTATTTATTTGTTGATAACCGCGGTTCCCTTTCATGCAGCAAAACTCTATAGGAATATATTATTTAGATATGTCAAATGAGTCATTCTGAAAATGGTAAAATTCAATTTATTTATTTTGTCTTAAAAGATCAAACTCATAACCTCAATAATCTTTGGAAAAATTATGATACCCCAGTAAGGTTTGGGGGAATAATTAAACCCCATAGGTTTTATAAAATAGAAACATGCCTCTCCCTAGATAGATAGAGTTAGGGGTGTTAAACAAATTTCCTATATCTCCAGTTGAGCTTTACCGTTATTTCACAGCTGAGAAAGGTAGGTATCTTATACTTTTCAATCCTCAGGGGAGGTCACTGTATTTTACCAAATATCTTTGTACACAAAGCATAGTAGCATACATAATTTTTCAGACAAATGCAGTTTTGCTTTCAGCTTTAGAACAGTACTAAACCTTTCTCCAGTAACATTAATCCATATGTCATTTCATCGGAAAAAAGTCTTTTGTTTTTCTCCACAATGTTGTCATTAGATCCAAATAGTATTGCAATAGATAAGAATATAATTGATAAATACTGAGAACTCTTACCTAACGTTAAACAATAGAAAAATCCATTAGATAATTAAACTATTGGTTCTACACCATCTTTGACAATAAATTGACAATTCGAAATGCTTTTCTTGCATATTATTACTAAACCAATGTTTAGATATAGATGTAAGACGATCTATTTAGGACGAAATCTATGTTTGTACAGAATTCTCGATATTTTCTAAGGTTTTAAAACCCGACCCGTGGAATGACCTTGTCAGGGGGTCGAGCCTGTGTTGGCCGATTCAACCACCGAGTCTAACTGTGATGTCAGCATGATGTCAACAGAAAAATTAAAATTCCAGATTATAAAATATTGATACTCAATAAATTTTTGTAACTAGTTCATCCAAATCTGAAATAAACAACTAAATAAGCTATAAAATATAAAGCAAACAACACATTCATTCCAAAATCCTATTACATTTCCATGTCAAGTCAAGATTGAATTTGGGCATCAGATGCACTCATGCAGAGGGAAAATTACTTATATCATCAATGTCATTTACTTATATCATCAATGTCATTGTCGTCATCATCCACATTAGCATCTACAAAAAATTTCAAGCAAAAATAACATTATGAGTTAAAATTTGTTATTATAAACTAAATTGACAAATGTAATTTAAAATTTAAATAACTAAATTAACTACTGTAAAATTACTAATGAGCACATCACAACATTAACCAACTTCTTTAATATCAAGCCCATTCTCACAGCAAACAATCTCAAACCCTAAACCCACTTCTTCAATATCAAGCCTCCATCTCTACCTACTCCAATCCCTCCCATGCAACAAAAACAAAGCACAACCAAATTCATTGAAGCCCCATTCTCACAGCAAACAATTTCAAACCCAAAAGGACCAAAACCCACTTCTTGAAAATCAATTGTTCAACCCTCCATCTCTATCTACTCCCATGCAACAAGCCAACAACTCAACAAGAACAACGATAATAATAAAAGTAAAAAGTAAAAGAAACACAAACCTCATCGGAGCTGTCGAAAATTGCAGATTGAAGAAGAAGTTGCTGTTGAAGCCTAAGATTGAACATCAAAAGATGTTGAAGGCTCGAAGATTGGATATTGAAGAAGAAGCAGCTACAGATTGAAGTTTGAAAATTGAAGAAGCCGAAGCCAGAATGATATGTTGATTTGTAGAATGAAATTGAAATGGGAATAGGGTTTTATTTATTTTTTTTTTTTTTTTTTTTTAATTTTTAGGAATGAAGTTAAACCGATTTTGTGCAAAAAACGGTTGAACCGACGGTTCATCACAAAAAATCTGGTCAAACCGCAGTTCAAACTGAGTTAACTTCAATTAATGGTTTTTTAATTGAACCAACCTAGCTTGGCCGCCGATTCCCGATTCAACCGGCCACTCCAGGCCGGGTTTTAAAACCTTGATATTTTCAAAGCTGCTAAGAAGTTGAAAGTCGGTTGGTTAAAATTTATCTACAAAATCTATTGTATGAACTATTTTATTTTTTGCTCGGTAGATGTAGATTGTTCATAAAAATCATTGCCTGTTAAGCTTATTCAAGAAAAGCTTATTTCATAGATGTTGTCGCTGGAAACCTGACTGATCATAATTTTAAGATATACACATTTTGATACAAGCAGCCAGATTGCCCAAATTTCCATCTCCAGACATTTGTCCAGTTATGATGAAAGACATAGCCGTAATATAATATACATTTTCAGTATGAAATGAGAGTTTATGTTTACTATATGGTCTAAGATATGGAAAACAGCTGCACCTGAAGACTCTAAGATCATGGTAATAGGTTCATGCTTCATCAACACAGTGAGAGGAGATACAAAGTTGAGCATAGTGGAAGGTAGTTGTAAGCAGATAGACTGTTGTGGAGAAGGCTAGCCACCAAAAATTGAGTGGCCTAGCATGAGCTAGGAGAGATAGGCCAAATTCAGTAATAGATCGGTGCCTTCTTTCTATTCTCCCATTTTGCTGGTGTAAATAAAGACAAGGATGTTGACTACATTTACCATGGTGGCTGAGATACTTAGTGAAGGACCGAAACTCCCCACCCCAATCAGTTTGTAGACTTTTATCTTAGCATTGAATTGTTTTTCTACAAAAGTATGAAACTGACAAGACTCAAATGCTTCAGACTGATTTAAGTGGATAAATCTATGTAAATCTGTGAATCGTCCAAGAAAATTATAGTAATAGCGATACCCTTCTTGGACAATATTGGGGCAGGTCCCCATAAGTCAGAATGTATAATTCCAATGGAGCCTTTGCTCATGATAAAGCATAGGAAAACTGCATTGTTTTAACTTCCCAAACAAACTGCTTCACAAACAGAATTTGCATTTGAATAAGGCGAATGTTTTACTACAGTTTATTAATACCTGTAGTGACTTAGCACTAGAGTGCCCAAGTCAAGCATGCCATACTAATGAAGAAGCAGATACATATCCACACTATGGTAGGCAGGAATTTATTTGATAAAATGAGGAATGACAGACTTATTAACTACTGGACGTAAACCAACTTCTGAGTTATTACTAGAGTGCATTTGAGAACCAAATAGAACACCAAGATTGTCAGCAGTAAATAGAACACCAGGAATGGCAGTAGCAGTGGTAACATCAGCGGCAATATAGAACATTGTGATGGAACATCCAACTGATACAGACCATCCTTAAAACATACTGAAGAAGTATAAATTTGCTGCTTCTATCCTTTATCAACAATAATCAGAATAAACTTACTATACATTATTGTCCCGTGTTATTGTGTATACTCAATATTCTTGGCAATGTTTGGGACACATAAAATGTTTGAGAATGCACAAGTCTTTTGAATTAAGTGATAGGAGAACAAAGTACCTGAATAAGTAATGCAGAGATTCACCATTCCAACCTGAACCTTGGAACCACCTGAATAGTTGGTCTTGTTCACCATTTGAGATGGATCAGCAACCATGTGATTGGATGCTCCTGAGTCTATGTACCAAGATGTCCTTCACAGTCTGTGGTGTTTCCATCTGAGAACCTGAGGCTAAGTTCACATCAAGGTTTGTAATAGGATTAGAGTGGACTATATTAATTGGAGAACCAGCAGAATGTGGCTGATGTTGAAAACCCTTGAGAAAGATAAGTGGTATTAAAAGCTCCAGGTGCAAACTAATTTCTCGAGGACCTCATAAGTAGTGTAATCATGATGAGCTCAGCATCAATATGAAAAGACCTATCCTGAAAATTTGTTCCAGAAAAAAAGGGCTTGTGCATGTGTAGGATCATTGGGTGCTATTGGAAATGGGTTAGGTTGAACCAGGTACAGAGTATGCTTGATTCTACCTGCATTAGGAAATCTAGTTGTAGAAAAACCGTGATAATCCTTTTCAAATCTGTGGTAGCAGTGAAGAGCTGAATGGTTGGGCTTCCCACATACTTGACACATTAATCTTGGCTTACTATAGCCTT